ACGTAGGTCCAGTGTGGTCAGATAGGGCTTAGTTGTCTATTGATTTCCTAATCAGTTGATCCCACTAATTCCTGTTGCATGGGTCTGTTAGACAAATTTTAGCGTTGATCTTAAGACGCAGTTTCACCAGCAATTATCTAGTTAATTACATCATTGTTTGTCGATCGTTCTATGCATTCTTTGTCTATATTAGTGCGCCGCTAATCATGCGAAATATAACAAAACAAGCAAAATCCTAATAATGGGTGTAAACGTTCTATAACACACTCCCCCCCTTGACTCATCTATGAGTCAAGGATCGGGCGTGATTTCCATTGTGAATCTAGAGCCGCACTTCTGCGTGGAACAGTTTTTGTGGGATTTTCAACCGTTCTTCTTTGTTCGGAGCTGTCCATTTGTGATGATCCCTCCCCCTTACTCTTAATTTCTAAGGGTTATAGCTTTTGCACTGGCCTGGATAGGTGGGTCAGTTTCCCCTTTGTGACCACCCTCTTTGTAGCACCTTTAATAACACCATCTTTCCCTTTGACTAGGCTCTCTACCACTCCTATCTTCCATTCTCCTCTTTTCTTTTCTTCCTCATGCACTACAACTACGTCTGCTACTTCTACTGCTCTAATCTTGTTTTGTACCTTACACCTGTGAAACTCACACAGATTCGCTAAATATTCCCTTTGCCACTGATTCCAAAAGTAGATATTTAAGTCTTGTGGAACATTCGGCCTCACCCACCGCATCCTCGGGTTCTATGACTTCATCCAGAAGTGATTTGATCCTTCGTCCATAGATTAAATGAGAAGGTGTTAGCACTTCCCTGTCTACCTCATTGTACTCACAAGTTAACGGTCTCACATTTAGAGTGCATTCTACTTAAACAAGCACGGTTAGTAACTCCTCATAAGACAATCTAGCATTTCCCAGTGTCTTTCGCAAACAATCTTCAACACTTGTGACCATTTGTTCAAAGAATCCCCCCCACCAAGGTGCCCTTTCTAAATTGAATTTCTACTCTATCCTCATATGCTCCAAGTCTGCTTGGATATCTGGATGATCGAACAATTTATTTAAGGTGGCTCGTACCGGTTTTCATCTTTTTGATGGTTTGTAACTTTGAAAGAATACAACAGAAAGACTGACCAAGGCCAGTTGAACACTTTTATGGGGTTGAATTACATAATCATTGGTTATTCAAAAATAAGTGTCATTTCGTCACTAGCAGTTTCCATGGCAACGCTTTCATAGGCTTATTCAGACGCATTTTTTAGCTTGTGGCTTAAATAATTCGAAAACTAACCCGGTGACCCCCTGATTTTTTTCAGTGATTGCTTTTGGCACTTGAAAAGGAAAATGCACAAAGATTTTTAAAAAATTCTACGGAGCGGAATTTCAGAAAATCTACAAAAAGGGCAATTTTCACACATCGCAAATTTCCTTCCGTAGAATTTTCTAGTTTTTTTTCTGATGATTCCTTTCGACGTTATTATCATATTGGAACAATAAAAAGAAGGGGTCACCGGACTTGTTTTCATGCAATAGCTTTCGTGAGTTTAGCAATTTCCACGCGCGTTCTCGCGCATTTAAAAATCTGGATTCTATAAGATCGACATTTGCTCATGATCTGTTTTAGCTACCGCTGACAATTGCGTGTGCTCGCGCGAGCACCTACGATCTGATGTTTACAGACGTTTACTGCTAAGAAAATCATTAAACAGCCGTCAAAGACAGCCTCCCGAGCTCATCTTAAAAATCCTACACATGACTTCTGGCTATATCATATTATTTTCCTTGAAGTTTCAAAGTCTTCTTCCACTTCAGGTAGATTATCCTTCACTTGAGTTCTTCTTTTTTCGCCGTCGCAAGATTTCATATCGGTTGAATATTTCTTTTAAATGTGAAGTGAAGCAACCTTTACTTCTCCGAAAATCGTCTTCGTTATCTTAGTTTCTATCTCCTGCATTCACAGTGGCCGCTCAACACATCAAATACAAGCTCTTAGGTAAACTTCTCACAAAAGTAGAAAAAATTCCACGCGCCGCCATCTTTGTTTTGAATTTTCATCTTTTGATCTCGCGCTTCTTTCGCACGTTTCTCTCGCGGACTTGTTTTCATGCAATAGCTTTCGTGAGTTTAGCAATTTCCACGCGCGTTCTCGCGCATTTAAAAATCTGGATTCTATAAGATCGACATTTGCTCATGATCTGTTTTAGCTACCGCTGACAATTGCGTGTGCTCGCGCGAGCACCTACGATCTGATGTTTACAGACGTTTACTGCTAAGAAAATCATTAAACAGCCGTCAAAGACAGCCTCCCGAGCTCATCTTAAAAATCCTACACATGACTTCTGGCTATATCATATTATTTTCCTTGAAGTTTCAAAGTCTTCTTCCACTTCAGGTAGATTATCCTTCACTTGAGTTCTTCTTTTTTCGCCGTCGCAAGATTTCATATCGGTTGAATATTTCTTTTAAATGTGAAGTGAAGCAACCTTTACTTCTCCGAAAATCGTCTTCGTTATCTTAGTTTCTATCTCCTGCATTCATAGTGGCCGCTCAACACATCAAATACAAGCTCTTAGGTAAACTTCTCACAAAAGTAGAAAAAATTCCACGCGCCGCCATCTTTGTTTTGAATTTTCATCTTTTGATCTCGCGCTTCTTTCGCACGTTTCTCTCGTACACGTCACGCAAGAGTGACCTGTTCCCCGCGCGAGGAAACTGGTACGAGCCACCTTAAGGCCTTCTCGGTGGCTTGAAATGTTATCGTGTTATCCTACACAAGAGTGGACGTTCTGCATCTCGCAGTGAACCATCGCAAACAGCATCTAAACACTGCGGCCAATAAATCTTCTACTAGTTCTAAGTGGATAGCTCTTGTCATGCAACATGAAAATAATGCGATATACACCTTTTCCATCTTTCCCACCTTACTCTTTATGTTTTAGGGCCTAACAAAATCGACATCTACTTTTGAAAATGGTGGGGCTTCCCTGACCCTAAACTCTGGCAATGCAGAGTTCTACCTTGTGTGTCAACCTAAGAATTTCGTTCACTCTGTGTTGCACGAACTGCTTCCACTCTCCCTTGTTTCGGATCCAGCTGAGAGCCGTTTTGCTATCTAACTAGAACCTCGCACCATCTATGGTGACCTGTAACTGTAACGTGTTGCGTACTGTGTTCATAAGTTAGGCCAGTATTCTCGCTGACATCAACTCTAATCGGGGGATGGACAGCTCTTTTAAGGGGGTAACTCGTTTTGCTCATGACTAATCTCACATGGGCCTGTCCATCATCTGTACGGTACACGAAGTAAACCACGGCACAATACGCCTTCTTACTGGCATCTCCGAACCCATGCAAGTAACACTCTGTCACACACTCTTCTTTCGCCTCATACAGACACCTACCTATTCTAATTTCTCTCGTTCTCAACAAATCCTCAACCCATTTACTCCATTTCTCTTCAATTTCGCCTGTCAACGTCTTGTCCCAATCAAACTTCTTACTACAGATCTCCTGGAAAAGAATTTTCATACTCGCTGTTACCAGACTGATGAATCCCAGCGGGTCAAACTAACTGGCTAACAAGCTCAACGCATTACGTTTGGTGGGTTCTAAGCCTTCTGTCCTCTTGGTGATATGTGCGAGATCAAGGTGGAAAGTGTCTAATTTGCAATTCCACTTAACACCCACAACCCTTTCTCCCTTTGACTCTCCTTGGCAGTCTAATTTTGACTTTGCGTATGTTTCTTCATCTTCTAATCTTTTCACAATTTCCAGTTT